AGAGAGAGAGAGAGAGACATGTAACATATTAATAATTCATTAATTTTTATACATATGATTTGTATTTGTATTTATATCATCTTAATTTAATATTATTTAATATTATTTTATTCATATTTGAAGATCTTCCCACACTAGATTTTACATTATAAATGTGATATAAGGAATTTGAAAAAGTTAAAGTTATGATTAAAAAAGTTCCCTTGTGCAGAATAATCTTGTAGTAAAAAAAAAGAATTAAATGAAAGCTGGATATTTATTGTGTAAGAACAATGGAATTGACAGAAAGTTTTTGTTGCGTATTATTTTTTGATGATAAAAAATGTAATAATGAGAGAGAAGAAAAAAATGTAATGAAAGGAAGGCTCTTTGCGATTATTAAATAAAATAAATAAAAGATCTTGCATTATTATTTGTGACTTGAAATTTTTTTCAATTTCTAAAGCTAACTTCAAAAAGTTAAGATTGCGAATTGTATCAATGCAAGTTTATCGCTCTTTATTACATAATAATTAATGTTCAATCCGGATTTCACTGTATGTACTAATGTGTTTTACAACTTTTAATATTACAACTGGATATTTAAACATTTCAATGTTTTTTACATTACGTATAAATCCTCATTAAACCATTATTATATTATACATTATTATACATTAATCATGCGACAGTTTAAGTGTCTTCGCTTTTGAAAAATTGTCAAATTGTGTGTTCACTTCCTGTTTCATTTTGTGACCATAATTTTACGCTCATCGCGTTCGCTCAACAGTTAATTGCATCCGCTTTCTGTATGACAGTGCAATCAAGGAAAACACTTACCTGTTTGTTTTGTGTATTTCAATAGGCGTTGATTAGTAAGTTAATTACTCTTGGTAAGAAAAAAATAATGTGTGCGATGACAGATATGTAGCGTGTATCATGTCCTCGGTCGTTCATTATTGTGGCCACGCGCAATCTTTTACAACACGAATAATTTTGAATAAATTGCTACGAGAAGGAAAAAAAGCAGAATGGTGTTTGTTTTTTGCTTCACACTGCAGCGAAGAATAGAAACTTTATTTCGCGCATAGCGTCAATAACGGAAAAAACATTTGTTGTTTCTACATATTTTGTTAGTTTTGTAGTGGTTATCTAAGATAATAAGATAATAAAATAATGCGATATCAATTTTAATCCAAATTTTGATCAAAAAGATTGAATGTTTTATTACCAATAATTTCTTTTATATCGAGTTGTAATTGGATCACATTTATCACATTTTATTTCAAAATTGAAACGATTGGAATTGATACGAAATATTAATAAATATATTTTAAATAAGTTTACATGATTTTTGATGAATGCTATAAAAGTCACAAATATAAAATTATAATTTTACAAAATATAGAAAATCATAATTTTATATTAAAAACAAAGTTTATTAAAATAATTTAGTGTGAAATTGATATTGATATGAATTTAATTGTTAAATAATTGTTTTTCTGTACGAACCTTCATTGCGTTTACTACTTCCTCGTTTTCATAATTGAGATCAGGCTGTTCTGGTGCAAATTGATGCAAATAATATGCTTTTCGTTCTTCAGACCAAGTCCATGCTGGTCCACCGAATACACTTACCTATGCGAGAAGATAATGATTCAACTATCTTGTTATATATAATTATGTTTTTAATATTCATTTCTACCAATATAAATTAATTTTAATTTTGGTTTAACTTATTTGTTATCGTTTTTTATTTCTAACAATTAAGGAAAGGCAAAGAGTAAATTAAACCGAGATTAAAATTAATTTTATGTTATCTTTAGTTATATTAGTTATATTAGATGTAATTTACCTAATTACTTACCCAATTATTCGGTGCCATAACAGTTCCATTCGTTAATACCTTGCCCTTGTGCCACACATAGTAGTTGGTATACGGTTCTATGCTTTTCACACTCTTTTCGAACCATTCGTGCTTATTTGACGAGTGATTAGGGACAAAATCCATGATGACTTTTATGGATACGTCGTGTGCGGCTTTTACAAGCTCTTCGAAATCTTTCATGGTGCCAAATGTCTCGTCGATGTTGACAAAATCAGAAATGTCATAGCCGAAATCCACCATTGGACTAGGATAAATCGGAGATAACCAGAAAGCATCGACATTTGCTTCAACGAGATGGCCTAATTTGCTCGTGATACCTGTACGCAGAAAATCGTATCATTGTTTTAATTTTGTTCGTGATATTTCTCTACTATAATTTTTTAATGTGCAATCATATAAATAAATAGATAGATATTTAATTTTAAATAAATGTCATTTTTGTTTCAGATTCGTAACTGACATAAATTGCCAATATGATCAACATCAAATATGAAAATCTTATAACAAATAATTTATTTGCTTCGAAATATTTAAAGGAAAGGCTAGGAATTGATAATCATAAAAAATTTCTTGCAATATTAATTTTATATTTGATAACATATTTGTTATTTTAAAATTTCTTAATATTTTTAAATGTCTACATATTTTATTATATAAATATAATATTATTTAAATAGAACGATAAAAATAATCTACTCAGCACTGTTTATTTTTAAAAATGCTCTTATTTTGTTATTAAGAACGACATATTGTTTTATTGTAATTTTACTACCTTATTTTATTAAAATTATAATAATATTGTTTCTAGAATTGTATGTAAATAAGAATGTACCTTTAAGATCTCCGACACCATCACCATCACTATCTTTGAAACTTCTGGGATAAATTTGATAAAGAGACATTGTCTTCCACCATTCTGGATTATTTTCACAATAACCGAGATTGGATGATAATAATACCGCGCAAAGTGTTAGTATAATATTCATCCTTGCTGGATCTTAAAAATAAACATTAAGAGCTTATTTATGCGATAATGTCAATAAATGTATATAATAATATTTATTATTATATATATTTATATATATAATATAATATAATATAATTAATATATGTATATAAAAAATAATTCAATAAATTGCATCATAATTTGCTACAAAAAACAATAGAAAATGAAGAACAATAGAAAAGTGTAAGATTATCTATCATAATCTTTTATTTAATTTTCTAATACTTTAGTCTAATTACTTAAAACAACTCGCTGGCGTTGATACTTATGTCTTATATCTGAATTAATATAAACCACGTGATGAAGTGACTAGTGTACACCTACTGCTATGGAGTAAACGAATCTTTCCTCTTTTATAGTCTTTTATTATGTAATTACGATCGAGTAGGGTTTTATGTATATACACAACCGATGAATTCTGTGCAAAATATATAACGATGCATGTATATGTACGTTTGAGATATTTATCTTTAGCGGAAATCTTTGTTTTATCTAGTTTTTTCGAGATAGGAAATCATCAATGCTACATCTAAGCAGTGTCTCTCAAAGTGTCAGAACTTTAAATAATTGAACAGAATATTTAGAAATGTATATGCAAAATTTTCAGCTTTAAATATTAACTTTTTATAAAAAATTTTCAGTCAATTTAAAATAAATTTTTTATTTAAAATCAATTTTCTCAAATACATCAAAGAATGTGATTAAAATTTTATAGCAAACTTTTAATTTATATAAATTTAATTAGTTATTTATATATAGTTGTATGTTTAATATCAAAAGTATTTTAATTTAAAAAGTAATAATTAAATTAAAACGTATTTGAAAAATATAATTTATATAGTATTTATACAGAAAAATATTACTTTTTTATAGAGAAATTTTACAAACATTATTCTGATGTAAGGACATTTTTTACATTTCCGATAAAATTAAAAAGCCTTATTGATATTACTGATGATATTATATTAGCATCAATTTAATATCTATTGATAAACTAATATTAATATACATCAATAATATTATATCAATAAGATAAAGCATAAAAGTTATAATTTCGAATAGAAACAATTTTTTTGAATATATAGATTTATAATCAAAACAAGGTCAATTAAATATTAATTTCAATAAACAAAACTTGTTTTCGTAAATTATGATTTTCTGTAATTCTGATTGTTTAAAGAATATAAAAAAATTTGGTAAAACAATTGATACAATTAGATATGATATTAAATCTAAAAATAACAATTATTTAAAAAAATTGTACTAAAAAACATGCATTAATATATACATATAATAATGTCATAAAAAAAATTATCAAAAATTATTTCTGGTAATATTATTTGTGCAACAGATCTCAAATAACAATTTAATCAGCGATAATATTTAAAGAAAGATAATGCGTTACATAAATGATTATCTTCGATAAAATTAAGAATGGAAAGGAAATTAAAGTTGTATGTTTATGTTGGAAATTAATATTCAATATTTGTTATACTTGTATCACCGAAATTTTAATTTCTTAAATTAAATTTTAATTTGATATCTGTATTGCATAAATTTTTATTTTTATTTTCTGTTAGTCTTTATACAATGTTTATATAAAATGTTATTTTTTAATTAGTATTTATTATTTTATTTAGTATTTTATGTTTATAATTCTTTTTTAAAATAATATTATTTTATAGAAAATGTGAATCAAAACTTTATTTATTTATTTATTAGATTTATTATGTTTTATTTTTATTAAGCTTTTATTTTATTACACTTTTTAAAATAATGATTAATATCGCAAATAAATATTGCTATATCTATAAAATCATATCATTTATATTCAAAAACTGTGATTTCTTAAATGTAAATATAATAGTAAATATAATACTGTAAATGTAACAATAATTTCTTATTAATTTAATATATTGATTATTTCTATTATAAGAAATTCTATTTCTTACCTAAAAATGCAATAGATGTGTATGTAACAAGTGAAATAGCAATTGTTTCTTTCTTCTCCTTATATTATGTAGATGTGGCAGTTAGCGTTTTAAAAAAAATTTAACCTTATGACTTGAAAACATTAGCGCGATCGCGCGATGTATATAATTTCAACTGTCAAAGTTTATTTAGTTAAATATATTAACTACATATTTAATTATAATATTATATTTGTAATAATCAGACATTACGATATTATAGAACAGTGGCCTGCAACAAAATTATAAATGGAAAGCATCAAGGAATATGTTCCAAAATTTATTATTGAGTACTAATAATACACGTTATATAAATTATATAAATAGATTTTTAATATTAGCAATGACTTCTCAAAAACACTCAAATGTGTCTCTCTTATCTAAAAGGAAAGTAGTGAAAAGTGCTTGTAGATTAGAGATTATAGGATTGAAATTAGATTGAAATTTGAATCAATTCAAACAAAGTTCATTAAATTTGAGATTAATTTTTTTTTGTTTATTAAATTCTAATCTAATCTCACTCTCTAGTCTGATATCCGTATCACTTGTTTACGTTGTTGAAAAACAACTCTAAATGTGATGTGTTACGATTGGTTTGCTCCACATTATCGACGAGTGGAAAACGAGTAAAATATATTTCGCAATTGCTCGCGAGAGGGCAGTCTCACCGATCGAAGATCCGAGGTCTGAGCCCTGAGCGCAACGAGTCTATCTCTCTCGTTGCGTTCTCTGTATTTTCTTTCGTTCTCGTTTTGTGCTACGCGAGAAAAATAAGACGAGTGGCACACGTTAGGAGTGACAAATCAACGACGGTGACGTATTCTTCAGCAGTTTTCTGTGACGCGTGATTCGTGACTGGTCGGACAGTTCGCTACCGCGTTTTATGCCCGATCGAGCCAGGGTACGATAACCTAATTCGTCAAAGATTACGTGGATGGTTGCTTAATTCGCTTGCAAAATACGCGGGTGAGTAACGCTGCACTCTGTTGTCTCATTCTTTCTGCAAATATGATGAGTGTCTCGTCATAATGTGTTTCTTTCTTTTTTTTACATCGCTCGTCTTGTCTAACGTTGTGTTCGAGAGACATGCACGAGTTCGAAAAATTTATTTTGCCTGGCTTTGGAAAAAATTATACATGTATTCCTTCTGTCAACCGTGCATATGAATTATTTATGACCACTTGCTCGGGTAATTGAGATTTTATTGTCAACGAGTGACAAAAGTTAGTATCTTCTTGGTCAATCTAGCTAGTATACTGTTATAAGTTATAAGCTAGCTCTCTTGTGAGTCATGTTGATAAGATCATGTCTTGCATGATAAATATTTTTATGTACAAAAACATGTATTATGCATGTGTATTTGTTATCAATAACTTTGTTGAATAACTTTGTTTATAAGAAAAATGTCGAAGGACGATTTGAATTCATTTTAGGAGTCTAGATTTTTTATATGTTATCAAATAAAAGTTAATTAAGCATGAGACATAAACTGAATTTGTCATTTAAATTTGAAATCTTTTTTTTACAAAATTTTATAAAAGTATTAGCAACATATACATATCTTTTATTAGCAATTTTTAAAAATATATTTTAAAATATATTTTATATTTACAAAGATAATTGTATTTATATTTGAAATATTTAATGTATATATAATGTATATTTAATATATGTATGCACTAAATGATGAAATATTATAAAAAAATTTAAAAAAAATTAATTTGGAGTTGAACAGTTTTATAAGAATAAAACATAAGAATATTTTTATAAAAATAATTATATATTTGTTTATATACACATTTATATATGTTTATACCATAGACACACACACACACACACACACACACACACACACACACACACTCTCTCTCTCTCTCTCTCTCTCTCTCTCTCTTAAAAATATATATTTAATAATAATATATTGAAGTTTTCTTATTTCAAACGAATTAGAAAATAAAAAAACTTACAATATATTGTTTGAATTGTTTAATAAAATATATATTTTTGTTATTTTATCATTTAATATTTCAGAATTTTTTTACATTCAGATTGTTATATATATGTCTGGTATGAAATAATACAACGCTTGGTGCAGGAGAGCAAAAAATAAACTGAACAAGAAATTCTTTTATCATTTTTTATTTTTGCAATTAGTAATGAATTATTAATTATTAAAAATCGCCAAATAAATGTACATCCGGCTCATTAGCGAATGCAAGAACGCATGGATATTCGCCTAGTGTGACGTATGCTAGGAGCACAGTGAGATGTTTAGACATGAATTTAGTGTGGTCTGCAAATGATAGAGTATCTGCTTACAATGCATACCTTCAAATATTTCATTGCGTTCCTATCACCTTGAACATTGGATGATCATATCTCGTCGTGCGCTTGCATTTGCCGGTGAACTGTGCGGATACATACTCATTTGACGATTTTCAATAATTAATATTTCATTACTAATTACGAAAATCGCAAAATGATACAGGACACTTTTCTACTCGGTTTAACCCTCTATCTGCACACACAAGTGTTGTACCATTTTGTATCAAACATTCTGTATATATACGTATATAAAAATATTAAAATATGATTATCTTAAGATTATATTAAGGAAGGTTTTTTAAGATATTACTTCTAAGATATTATATCAGAAAATTAATATTTTATGAAATATTTTATATTTTATGTCAGAATATGCCAGAATAAAGTGTAAAATATCTCATAAATGACTGACTTTTTGATAATTCTACCTTAATATTTTTATATCGACGATGGTTAAAAGAATTATTTTACATAACAAAAAATATATGAGTCCAAAAATGAATATAGAGCGACCAAAAATGACAACGTCAGAAAAATACTATACAACAGCTTTATCTACATATGAATTAATATTATAATCATAGTTGTTTTGAAATTCTACATCTTTACCTGAAATATTTTTCCGTATCTTATTTGCTTGTTAAAAGCTACGACTACTTTATATATGAAAATTGTAATTGCAATCTTATTAGCTCTTTTTTTATTCTTATCAAACTTTCTTTACATTCTTGCGAAAACTTTTTATAATACTTATTAGTTGAAATATTTTATAAACATTTTGATGTACAGATGCAAAAATATTATAAATGAGAAATGTTTTTTAAAGTAAAAGTTGAAATTAATATATGTTATCTTGAAATTTAATTTTTAATAATATAAACGCAAAAAAATAAATTTTAGCTTCTAATATTGTATAAAAGAGATATATTAGAAATTATTTGAATGATAAATTTAGAAATAACAATTTCAATTTTTATTACAAGTTACTTTATTTAATTTTATATACATATCTATAAACTGGGATTGAAAAATTTATTTATTGATTTATTCCAGTCCGTTCAAATTATAAATAACTTTTACCAATTAAACAATATCATCACTTTTATTACGCATTTACTTGCATAAGAACATCAAGAGGGAAAGCTTGTCATATGCTATACATATGTTGAAACATATTTGCCAATGCAATAACTTATAAAATAAATAAAATATGTTTTGTAAAATTTGTATTTATATGAAAAATGCGTGTTAGTTGCTTATTTGTTGAATTTGCTTATTGATTGTGATACGATTCCTCGCCATATAGACTTGCAAAATTATATTAGTCTTCTTAATAACTATAATTAATAATCTCTTAATAATTTATAATTTTTTATAAAAATTATTTCAGAAGAGAGTTTTTACTAGATCTTTGTTTTTTATATATATTTTGATACATGTTACATAAATGAAATAAAAATAGCAATAAATGAATTTTCATAAAAAAATTTGATAAAAATAAATATTTTTTTGTCACTTTAATCCTCCTTTAAAACGCAAGAGTGCGTTTTTTATAAAATTGAATAATTTCCTATTATGGTTATTTTAAATAAATAAAAATAAATAAATAAATAAAAAGAGTTTTTGTTATATAAAAGTAAATGCTTATACTTTATCCACTTTTATCATATAAAAATAAATATGTAAAAAAAGTAAATATATTTATGATTTATTGTTTTATTAATCGATCGGAATTAAGTTTGATCATAGAAACTAGAGGAAATCATGAAAATATTTATTAATGAAAGGAAATCTATTTGTAGCAGGCTCTGTAATAAACTTGCTTGTGCCTCATTTGTTTTTGCTGTCAGTTAAAATTATGATTTTATGGAGGCTCCTGTTATAAATCCGACTCTATATCCGCCGTTTGTATACATAGTTTTCCATTTCATACAGGAAGCACTTGATAACACGGAAGTGGCGCTCCAGTAATTGAAACAATCCATTTTGTTTGAGAGAAAAACGATGTAAGAGAAAGAGAAATCATCCTTTTGTAAGAGCGTTTCTTTCAAGAATATTTTCTAAAATAATTATAAATAACTACGTGTTGAATATGAGAAAGTTATTGAAAATGGTATCACAATTATCTAATTTGATAATTAATAATTTAACAATATTACATATTATTATTGGAACTCATCAATTTCAAACTATTAAGATATTATTTACTTTGATCAAAAATCAATTTATTCTAAACGTCGAAGACGTTTATATAGTTAAGATGATAAAATATTTTTGAGAGATACTCATTATATAAATTACAATTAGTTGATCATCGCACTACCGCAGATCACGTTCATCCAAGCAAGAATATAAATATATTCGTGTTTATCTTTGAGCAATGTATTGGCTTTAAATGAGATACCATAATCTGTCCAAAACTTTATGAGGTACCCAAGGTACGAATTCATGCATTTGGTAATCTAAGCTTTCTACGCATGGCTCCGTTAGCAAATATGTATCATGTCTCCGTTACTTAACATCCGCCCAACTTTCTATTCGCGCACTGGCACATGGATGCGCGCTCATTCTTTACTTACATTTAAATGGTATTGCGAGTATCATTCCGCAACTTATCATTTTAACATATAATTTTCCATATTTCCATATTAGATTTTTGTACGCAATACATAATTGTACACAATATTTTTCTGACGTAACAAGACTTAAATATAAATCCTAATGAAACCCCATATGAAATTAAAAACGCCGAGAATCCCTACTAAAATGAGCAGATAATTACCTATTTATCACACTTTCTTCTTGTTATAAAAATAGCAAAACCTTGTTTTCCCAAAATTTTTAAATTAATTTATTAGTTATTATTAGTGAATTCTATTATTGACTAAGGAAATTATTACAAACTTGATTTTTATGTATCGTTAAATAATGTTTGGATTCTAGGATTTATTGAAATTTGAATTTGTAATATGATATCACGATCAAGAGGAAACAATTTATGTTTACGAAAGAAGTTGAGAAGTATATAAAATGTTTAGATATTTAAATGAAAATTTATAATATAATGTATATAATGTATATGTTCAATATTATTGTAGGATATTAATTT